CCCTCTACCTTTGCTGTGCAGACACGTTCTCAGCCTGTTCAAGCACCTAGACATCAGTCACCATTTTTAGACTTGATATCACAAGTATGTTGTGTTTTGTTTTTGTCACCCATTTCATTTTATCCCTCCCACTTTCTTATTAACTGCAGCACCTAGTTCTGAGTTTTTGTTTTCCCTTTCGTCTGATATTGGGATCCATGCCAATCAATTATGCATAGGAATTAGTGTGCCATGCCCCCACGTACTGCAGAGGATCAACCACTTGCATATCATCTTTCAACAAACCCTTGGGTCATTCAAGTTTTGTCAAACGGACTTCGTCATTTTCCTCACACCTCCTGCCTAATCCCCTGTCTCAGTTCCTTCCCCCCTCAAGTTCCCATTTCCCTCCAGCATATCACAGAAGTGGTTCAAGACCTTCACATCAAGGGTGTCATTGAACTAGTTTCTTCTGTGCTTCCAGGATTCTATTTCCGATTTTTTTGTCATCTCCAAGAAGACTGGGTATTGGCATCCTGTTTTTGATCTCTCCCATCTGAATTGCTTCTTCATTGTGCCTCAGTTCACCATGAAATCCTACCTGTCTTTTAGATGGGCTTTTCTTTCAGGACTTTGAATGACTAAATTCGATGTGTTTGATGATTATTTTCACATCTATGTTGCTTGGGATTCCCGTTGTTATATATGTTTTGTCCACAAGGATCGTGTTTATCAATTCTGATCCCTTCCTTTTGGGCTGGGATCAGCACCCTATACCTTCTGTTGGGTGGTCCAATTATTTGCTCAATTCCTACAATTTTTGGGCTCAATTTCCATTTTAATATGGACAACTGTCTTCTTCTGGCTCCATCCTTTGCAGATTCTTTCACACACACACAAATTCTTATCAGAGAAGTTGCTTGTGTGGGTTGGATTATCTAGGTTATCCATTATTCATTCCACCCAATATCTTGTTCTTCTGGGTTTTTTTTTTTTCTAACTCACATCTCAGTCAAGCCCTGCCTCTCTTAATCTGCAAGCCATGGAGTTTCAGTTCATAGGACACTATAAGCACCTTCTGTCCCTGCACGAGAGGTTCTGTCTCTTTTTGGGGACTTGGGCATCACTGGAGGCTCTTATCCCTCTGGGTCATGCCCACTTGTGTTCCTTATAGTGGGTACAACAAGATCAATGCACCTCATCAGAGACCCTCTGGATTTACAAACATCCCTTCCTGCTTCCCTTCAGTCCAATTTTCTTTAGTGGTTAGACAGACACAACATGTCAGTGGGGGTACCTATTTCTCCTCCCCATCTGAATATCCATGTCTTCATAGATGCCTCGTTATCAAGATGGGGTGCATGCTGCAATACACAGGAGATCTCAGGCCATTGGTCTGGAGAGGAGTTAGGTTTCACATCAACCTTTTGGAACTCCTTGCTGTTTGTCAGATGATGGTTCAATTTCTGTCATTCCTGAGGAGTATGACAGTTATGATTCATTCCAGCAATTCAATGATTGTCTCTAACATCACCTGACAAGGGAACACTTGATCCCAGTCTTCCCACACTTTAGAGCTCCTCTTCTGGGCTCACATCCATCAAATTTGTTTGTTGGTTTGTTACATACTGGGTGCCCTCAATCTTGTCACAGCTCATCTCTCCTGTCCCAACAAGATTCTACCCACAGAGTAGTCTCTTGACCCTCAGGTGTTACAATGGCATGGAAGGGCCTTTTCCTTTACTCATACCTCCCATCTGTCTTCTACCTAGAGTAATTTCACTCATCCAGTCTACTCTGTGTTGAGTCCTTCTTGTGGCTCCTTTCTGGCTGGCCAAAATATGGTTTCTATCCCTGTCCCTTCTGCAGGAACTACTTCCATTACCTCTCTCTTTCCCAGTCCTTCCTCAGGAGTGCTTTATACCACTGTTCCCACACTCCAGCTTCATGCATGGCTTTTGTGAGGGGTTTGGGACTATCCATTGTGCGTTCATGTCTGTGTATCAACGTGAGTGGAGTACATTTTGATTCAACTTGTTTCTGTACTTTTTGACAATCCCTATTCCCCCTTTTTAAATTAAAAATTTTTACTAATCTTGTTTTTAAGTTTTTTATGTCCATTTATGGAGAATAAATATTAAGCTACATACGTTCACATGTTTTCAGTTGAATGTACATGTTTATCAACAGTTTACTGCTGCATTGGCTTTTTTTCCACCCAACCACCACTCTGAACTTATTCAAAATAAATAACAAATACAATAAAAAGAACAAACACATGTACTGGTATGCAACTACAAGAAACAAAATGTAAAGTTGTTCTTAAAGGACCATCTTGAAGGCAAAGATTGTATCATCACAGATTTGATGACCAGCTTCCATCAATGTCACAATGTAATGTAACAAAAGGTGAGCAGCAACAAAGCAATCTCATAAGAATAAAATGGTGTTTCTTTTAAGATAAGACAACACATATTAATGCAATGTAAGTGGACACAATAACATGCTTACCTTGTTAGGTCTACATGACACATATGTATGTTCTTCAATATCCTGCTGTGCACAAGTGGTTGCTAGAATAAGGCGACACAAATAATGCATATAAAATAGAGAACAGCGACACACTTAGTGTGAGTCACCAATTCTCGACAACATTTACAACTGCTACCTTAACATCAACTATTCAAAAATAGCAATAACTATATAAAATAGTGCTATATGCAGTGGTAATAAATACTGAATACACAGTCATAATTTAAGCTAAGTGTAAGAAACCATAGAAAGAATTGCTACTGTTTTCTGAGGAGGAAAATCTATTATGGTAATCGTCCACCTTTAAAATCTTTCTGAAATATAGTTGCAGAAATCCACATAGAGACAGCAAATTCGAGTAACGACGAAAAATAGTGACTCGGGTTACAATATAAAACAGCAAAATCAGGAACCTTTCACATAGCAGTTTCCAATTAATGTACTAGAAAATGTATGAGCTGTAGTTTCCCACTAATGTGCACACTAAGAAAACACTGGATTTTATTATGTCAGAAAGTGAAAGATTTAAAAACTTTTGCAGCACGACAAAGTTAAGGAGATCTGATTAGGTTTAAAAGTGCTCTCCCAGTTTTGCTAAATTCCTGTGTGATCCCACACTACAGTAGATGTCACCTACATCACTTATGATAATTTTATAGTAGAGTCATAATAAGGATTTAGCTCAAGCAAACTGTCCCAAGTAGATCTCCAACCTTGTTTGCTTACATTTTTACATTCCCTATTTTTAGATTTTAAATTCTAAATTTTTAATTATCTTGTATGTTGGCTGTCTTTTATAATGTATACTAATGAGCAAACACAACCCCAAATAAATACATAAAACCTTTTTACTAGTAGAAAAATAGCCTTTTCAAATTAAACAAATATGTCTAAAACATCGCTTTAAATAAAGCTTTGTGTCTTTTAAAGTAAATATTTACTGAGCCAGGTGGCTTTGTGCTTGAGGTTTTGTGTAAAGACACGTTTAACATGCATCGAGTACGAAAGTAACTGCTCAGAACAACTTTGCATCTATTATATGTTTATAACCACGTAAATCAAATTTCAGTGAAACTAATCAACGTTTAAATAGGTCACGTACGGTTACAGAGCTTTGTATAGTATATCTGTCTAGGTTTTGGTACAAAATACCCAGCCAGCTTTGCTATAGGCTTGTGAAACAATAATATTAATTATAATAATATGAACAAGTTGGTGAATTTTGATTTTGTCTACAATTGTGAAATCACTTATTTTGCTTATTATCAATGTTTGGGTGGTCTTAAGTATTCATAAGGAAGGTACTGAGTGTTGTTTCAAGAATAAGTCTGCTTTTTAATGTGTTTTTTTGCCTGAATGTTCTATTATGAGAAAATTCCTGTGCAATCCCTATTATGAACTACTCTTGTGGTTCAAGATAATTAAAAGTAAAACTGGTGATAGATGTAACACACATTAACTCACAAATTTGTTGGAGTGTGAGAGTTTTTTAAGTGTAAGGGTGTTTAGACTAATTATTGTATTACAAACTTGGTACAGTACAGCATATTTTATGTCAACATGTTTGAAAGTATTCATATATGGTACTTTAAATCCATTGTTGATCTTCAGTTTTCTTCTAACATTTGACTTACATTCATGTTGAACTTGGTACAGTACAGCATATTTTATGTCAACATGTTTGAAAGTATTCATATATGGTACTTTAAATCCATTGTTGATCTTCAGTTTTCTTCTAACATTTGACTTACATTCATGTTGAAGAAGTCAACAAAATGCTATATTATCTGTATATTATATACACTTAGAATTGACCAACTATGTTGTTATAATTATTTTAAATAATCTGTAGTGTGTCTTATAGAAGGGTTGATAATGTGTTTCGTATTTAGATGTTAGGAAAATGTTTTGTAACATTTACAACACATATATTTATTTTCAGTTCAGAGTTTATTTAAATACATGACCATGTATTGTTTATGTTGAAAGATTTTTAATTATCACTTTAATATTAAAATGGCTGAATCTAAAAATTTCCTTGTGTTTAAACTTTTGGCAGTCATTCATGTATTTTAGGGTACTTCACTGAGAAAGTTATAGTACACCTAATTTGAAATAAAACATTGAACAGTTTGAAATACATGTGGGTTATTTTATCTTTTCCTGATCTTTGATGGTGATCAAATAGTAAAGAACTGTTAGGATAAAGATGGCAGTGAAACTATCAAGATTATTAGGTAATTTTCATCCTGTATGACTGACTTTATATGTGTATACAATGTAGTTTTTATAACATTATAAAGTCAAATAACTCTTCGTATTACAAACAATATGTCTTCAAATAATAATACGTAGAAGTTCTTTGTTTACAGTTAATAATTGTAAATAGTAAAAGTTTTAGACATGTTACATATTATATCTTTAAATGTGGGTGCCATTTATATTAACCAAATATTTTTTCTCTCTCATTTTTGGCTGCTACCTCTAAGGTGTTGTACTCTGATTTGCAGGATGTATCAGTAAGATCATTTCAAAAATTTCTTTCTTTTCTCTTTCCATCATGTCTATTTTTGACAACATTTGTATGAAATTAGTTGTACTGTTTGTGTTTTACTAAAATTATCTGTTAAGGTGTGATGTATTTTTTCTTTAATTTATAATATTAAATGTGGGTTTCAAAAAATGTTATGCTGATTAAACACTAAGTTATAGTTTCCTATAAGAATCTATGCAATTGTAACATTGAAAATGTTTTTCCTGGATTATTAGATAGTTTACTGTTCCTGATGTCTACATGTCCTTATTTCTTTAGTAATGGTATGGTAGTTACAAATAGTCTGAGCTATCTTACATATTCTTTAGATTTCCATATAAAATAGAAAAATGTAGGTAAGTGTGTGTTATTAGCAGGAGTGATAGTTTAGTAATTTTCCACTTTCTGTAGCTTGGACTATGGTAATCGAAACTATCACATATTTTCACTGGATGTGCTCTACTGGACTTTTACTTCACATACCAAATATCAAGGCAATCCATTAAGAAATACACAAGGTATAAAATCCCTAATTTTGATTGAATTTCTTCCTGTTGTTTTCTTCTTCACACAAAAACATACTTAACTTTCATGGATTTTTTCAAATTTGGTACACTGATAGATATTCATAACTTACAATTAGGTCTAAATATAAGCCACACATAAAAAGTTATTCAACAAAACTGCTCAATTTTGACCAAGATTTTAGTGCACAACTATGCAAAAAGTCATGTGAGCTAACAGTCTGAAATTTTTACTACAGCTCCACCTAAGAGCAAAGGTGTACTGTTTTTAGTTTTTTGTCATTTGGATTAAAAACTGCTGATTCAGAGAGCAAAACTATATATGATGAAAGCACATACAAACACATAAGTGTTGGTTAGGCCAAGCAAACTAGATTAGCAGTTTCTAGCTCTAGTTTTCAAAAGAATCATATGGATGGACAGTTATTATTCATTGCCAACTTTTAAGCACAAATTTGCTACATTTTATGAAATTCTCAAAATTAAAGCATTTAGCATCACATGATATGAGCTTAAGCAATTAATGTAAATAATGATGCTTGATATGACTGTACTGAGTGCATGCAGGTGATGACAAGAAACTGTTAATCTAATTCCATGGTGTTACTATAAATGAAATTATTAACACTGTTTTAGAGAGGAAAAATAACCACCATATATTTTAAAGAATCTGGTTGGCTCTGTAAAGTATACATCTGTTTCGAATAATAAAGTTGCGATCCTAAAGCTAATGGTGGTTGCTATCGAGTGTCACTTTTTTCACTTGCTGCAGTTTGTTGGTGTGTGTATATATAATCAAAAACAACTTGGGTGTGACAAAAGTGTGTGTGTGACTTAAAGGCTGCCAATTTTGATTTTGTTCCTTTAAGTCACATGCTCAATCCTTTTTTGTCTGCACCTTTTTTTCGTGGATAAAGTGTTTTTGATTAGATATGTATAATACTGACAACTTTATATAAAAATGTATGAAAATTATAGTGAACATTGATAGAAAACCAACACAATAATCAAACTATGATGAAGGATATTACAGTGTAGATTAAATATGTTGTGGTTCATACTGAACTCCAGTATATATGTAAGACTAAGCATGTTTTTTAATGACCTGAATGTAACCCACATGAAGTTCTTTTGTCATCTGCTCGTTTCATGTCAGTGTATGACCTAACTTTACAAACTATAGATATTTTTAGTACGATTTTCAAGATATATATAATTCTTCTGGGATACTCTTACTGCACTAAAAAAAACCTTTAGACTATGAATAATCAGACTTGGTATGTTGAATTGGCAAGTGGGATTACTTTGTTTAATTTACACTGAGTTGACAGAAAATGGTAGTCATTTGAGAAAAGAAAAATATTTGCTCCTATCATTTTATGTGAGGGTACTGTTAGCTGTATCTGAGGGTGAATTAGCTACATGTAGCAGTTGTATCAAGTGCATCTGTGGCTGTTGGAAATTAAGCGTTATTGTAGCATTGTTTTACTGGACCCTATAAAGTATCGCTATTTTAACTTGAAGCATACAACATATAAACATAACCAATTAACAATTTAGTGGGTAGATCACTGATTGATTGGTCCATAGACATTAGTGTCTGTTAATTCACTGATTAGACTTTATAACTATCCACATTTATATCCTCCTTTTTAAGCTATGTATAATAAAACAAAGGTGCTAAATTTATATAGATCAGAAATAAAAAATGATCATAATCCACTTCATTCAAAACAATGATTTCAAATATAACAATAGTTGTTAATACAGACGAAAACATTGGTACATGTGTGTATGATAGCAGAACTAACTAGCCTGTAACTTTAACAAAAAAACATTTAAATTTCTTTATTTAAGGAATATAGAGTAAAGACTGGGAAATGTACAGAAAAAATCATAGTTCATATTAACACACATATACATGAAATATTAGTGAATTATGAAACTATGTGCATTATTAATAATGGCTGGAGACGGCTTAAATGGGTAATGAAGAAAAACTTTAATATAAGTTTAACATGACAGCAAATGTACAACGTTTCGACAAGGTTTTGTCATCATCAGGTACACTAGATATGTGTTAGTCTTGTATATTGTTGCGTCAGCGAGGTCACATGACTAGTGTCAAACCACGTTTCTAGAACTATCC